TCACCCTGTGTGAAGTGGAGGTGTATGCTGCTCCAGCAGGTAGAGCTTTAAGTGACTGGATCTGATCTACTGAAACACATCTGCCTGATACTGATTCATACTTGTTTCTTCTTTTCAACAATTTAGTGGAACCGCTTCCAAACGTGGCCTTAAACAAACAAACAGTACAGTCATCAACTTGGTATGGGCCAGTGTTTGGGCCCTCAAAGGGTGTTGATGGGTGCAAAAATGGAAACTTGGACTCAGGATGCTGTACACACAATGATCAAGATCTGGATCCCTGGTGGAGAGTAGACTTGTTGGCTGTCTATAAAGTCAGTGCTGTCACCATCATCAACAGACAGGATGGTTATATTCCAAGGATTCTTGGGGCACAGATCCTGATCGGGAACTCGCTGGAACAAAATGGAAACCAAAACCCCAGGTGAGATCTGATTTCCGAGTAATACAACATTTCTCCATAAACATCAAATTAATTCTTTTTCCTAATTAGGAAACATATATATGCTACAAACATTTCTAGTTATTTGTTTCAATTCAAGTTTTTTAAGTCCAATAAATACCTTGAAATTGTACGAAGGTAAGTGATGAACTGCCAGAGGTTAAAAAAAGTTATGGAAATGCAAAACTGAAAAATAATCATACAGAATCATACAAAAAGGCCTTTTTCAGGGAACACACAATATGCTACCAATTTAAAACTGTTCTGCAGAAATGGAGGTTGATCAAGCCTTGACTGGTGATACTAATTCCTAGAGGTTTTCCAACTTTTCTGGATTACTTACAACTCTCTTTGTCTGCATAAAAGCAGTGTTGGAACATGCTGTGGTACCTTGTGAAGATCAGTTAAACAGTATTATTGTGCAGAAAGTAATGTGTGGCTACAAAAATGGTGAGAAAAAGACACTTAACAATAAAAGAGAGACAAACCATCATTATATTTAATAATGTAGGTCTTACCTACAGAGAATGTCAAGGTGGCATTGAGTACAGTTTCCTTCACTATCAAAAGACACTCAGAAGCCGGGGCAAACTCTGACAGGAGATGTCTGGCAGACCAACAGAGGACAAGTTTCTGACTGTTAACAGCTCGCATGATAGGCAGCTCACAGGACAACAGCGTCAAGCAAAGCTTAATAGTGGTTTTAGCAAGCAAGTCTCAGTTTCAACTGTGAAAAGAAGACTTTGATTTAAAGGTTTGACAGGACAAGTTACTAGGATGTCAGAATAAGACGAAGAGGCTTGCCCAGGCCATGGAACACCACCACTGGACTACCGAAGACTGGAAGAAGATATTATGGACTGAAGAATCAAAATTTTAAATATTTGCTTCATCAAGCAGGATTTTTGAAGAAAAAACGGATTACCGTTACTTTCCCGTAAGCATGCTCCGTTACTGCGTTACTAAAACCGTGATTTTTTTTTTGCGAGAGTGTCTCATGACAGTGACGTAAGCGAGTGCCACGTTCGTGGCAACAGCTGTGCGCAGATCAACAAAGGATAATATATCGAGTGCGGTATGACCGTGCAACGTGGAAGTACTGACCTTACTTTGAGTTTGATACCGTAAAAAGTGACAAAAACATTAGTGTCCGTTGTTCACTACGTGGAAAGAAAACTTATTTTTACAGCGAAAAAAACCCCCAAACTTCCGAGCAAGCACCGAGTGCGCTACCACGTAATGGGAAATTCACAGACAAACTTGCGGATTCTTCCACTGACCGCTGCGGCACACCTGCACCAGGGCAAACATCCGCCTGCTATCCGCCCGCCTGAAAATAGAGCAACAGGACTGCTGAGTCTTTGATTTTATTTATTTTCTGCTGTGTTTTACTTGCATCTATTTTGAAACTGAGTGTAAACAAAAAAAACTATTTTACTTTTTGTGCAGGAATGTGCAGAAAATAGGTTTAAATGTTAAACAAATTTCTTCCAGTCAGAGAATGTTGCATATAATTTAATTTTTGCTTGATGCATAAAGTTAAAAGATTAAAACTAATAAAACAAAACTCCTCCTCCATGGAGGAGGAAAAAAATAACTCTAATTCTGTTGTTCCAACTTAATATACTTGAGTTGGACAAACTTAAATAATAATGATGAATCAACTTACTTACAGCAGTTGAGTCCAACTTAATTCAACCAAACTGATCCAACCCATGCAAATTACGTTAACCCGACAAAGCAACTCATTACCAAAAGAAAGTCATGTTTTAATGTGGAAATCCTTTCCATAATTATTTTAAGTTTATTCTAAAAGTCATTTTTTTTGGCTTGTTCAAAAAGTCTAGAGTCATACAACACATAAATTGTATGGCTTTATAAGAATTTCCACTTCATACATCCATTTATTTTAATCATGGTTGTGGTGGGCTGGGGCCTATCCCAGATGAGATAGGGCCAGAGGTACACCCTGGACAGGTGGCCAGTCTATCACTTTGCTAACACAAACAGATTTATTTATGGATAATTTGGAATCACCAATTAACCTAACTCCAATAACTGCATGACTTTTATTTGTGGGTGGAAAGCAGAGTATCCAAACAAAACCCACTGCAAACTCTGTCATATTGTGGATTTCAACTCTGGACCTTCTTGCTGTGAGGCAACAGTGCTAACCATTGCACCGCTTACCTGTCATTCCAGACTTTTTTGAGGTCTGGAATGACAGCAAAGTGGTGCCATGGCTTTATGGCTTTAATTTTCTTTATGTTTTTGTCCTTGAAAGGTTAAACCACAATAAATAGCAACAGCATACACATGGTGTGATATATTGTGTGTATGTGTGTGTATATATACAAATTCATTAATTAAAGAAAGCCACCATTTTTCATCTTTTTTTTTCTCTCAATCCATCAGTTGTGGCATGATCACATCATTAGATGGTACACCAACATACACATTCCAGTGTAATGAAATGGAAGGTCGCTACATCATTGTGATCATACCAGGAAAAATGACTTACACAACCCTGTGTGAAGTGGAAGTGTTTGCTTCTCTATCTGGTAGGGTTTGGGGTGTTAGTTCTAGAAGTTCTTAGTTCTTAGGTAGTGTGTGCTAAAATTATCATTGTAAAATTTTCTATTGTTTTGCCTTTTTCTCATATTTGCTATTGTAAATAGGACCAGATTAATTTAATGCACTTTGCTCTTTAGCTTTCACTGTCTAATTTCACTACAGACTATTGTAATTTAACATATTAAAATAAAAGGAAAACAATAACCACCAAATATGGTTTAAACAAACCGAATACTAAGAAAAAATTTCTTCACTACAGTGCCAGATGTTATTACGACTCCTCCACCTCCTCCCACCCCTCCTCCACCTGTGAGCCTGCAGCTTGGTGGCAGGAATGTGACGGTGGTGGGAGAGAGGCTCTGCTGGACCGATGCTCTGATGTACTGTAGACGTTATTACTGGGACCTGCTCAGCCTTCACAGCCAACAGGAGCAAAGTGAGTTGGAGCAGCTGCTGGGCCTCATTCCTTTCTCCCTCACAGACCACGTCTGGATGGGACTGCGCAGGTACTGATAGCTGTAGATACATTTAGCTGATGTACATCACAGATTAAATAATGAGCAGGACATAACATAAATGAGATGGTGCTTCTCTCCAATCACAAGTGAAATGGAAAAATCTGTTAAAGAACTAGACATACAGTATACGATAAGTAGATGCCCTGCTCTACCCCAAAATGCCTGCAAAAAAGGAAAATATTTACCCATTTTGTGATCATTTTTTTAATTGATGATCATAGAGGCCATCTTTTTACTGTCAGTAAAGCTGGCATATAACTTAATTTTACACTGCTGCAAAATACCAAGAGGTCAGATGGCCCACCTTAATGATTTGAATTTAGGAAATATTCTTAGAAAATGAAGATCTTTAAGTCAAATGCTTTGTGTTCTTGTGTTTTCTCATTTACATTGCTGCCTGTCCCAGACACCAACACAGCTGCTGTAACACAAGAAGGGCAGTTTATATATTCTGTATTATTGAATCCACAAACAAGACTTTTGAAAATTTTGAAAATTACACTGGAAAGGCCAACATTCAGCTTAAAAAAAGTTTTGTGTCTTTGTGTCTTTCTAGAGTATTTAAAAATATTAATATAAATTGTTATTTTAAAGATAAATATCAATCATGTAGCTTTTGTCAAACTCAATGTAAACAAGTGCTCCCTATTCTACAGAAGCATTTCCAGTCAGTTTGCATCTGTCCATTACTTTCTCTTCAACAGATCCCTCAGAGCAGACGAGTGGTTCTGGATGTCTGGATATTCCATGAATTTCTTAAATTGGCCACAAGATTTTGTTCCTGACAGCTACTCCAGCACCTGTGGAGGCGTGGCCAGCATGGATAACTTCCTCTGGCAGGACCAGCCCTGTGAGGAGAACCTCAACTTCATCTGCCAATCAGGTTTTACTTGCATCATGTTAAGGCTTGTATGCAATTATTGTGCATTACTTTGATTTAACTGTAACTCATGTCCATTCAGGTGCTGACAATGCTGTGCAGAGAGTTCATTTCTACAGCACCAAGGATCCAACAAGTCCATAGGAACCAAGATGACACAGTATAAACTGTGATGCATAGTTGTTGTTAGTTATTACTTAAAACCTGTTTTGTACTCCTTTAAAACTATTTTGCCAAAAATTCAGCAAGTGCATAACACACCATGTTTTCTTTTTCATATCACCAATCCTGATGAAACACTAAGTTGAAGTCATATATAAATAATTTCTTTGTAGATTTTTCCTTTCTGATTCATAGTAACGCTCATAGCATTTGTAGTAATTGTATCTATGCAAAGCAAGTGAGCCTACTCCTTTACATTATATATGGAATTATGTGCCTATAATAACTAGCTCTAAAGTTATGACTGTAGTGATGAAATGTCTTGATAAAGCCAGAACTGAAGTACAAATTCTCTGAATTATGAAATATTCTAATATCAAACAGTTTACGTGTAGAAAAGAGCACACATTTTTAAGCACTTTTTAACACTACACACACATTCCCACATAACAAGCAGGTCTGGCCCGGATCTGGTATCAAGCACTGCTGGCTGACTTCTGGCATGATAAGACGTATGTCATCCAGATATGGGCCAGGCCTGACATAGATGGCACTGTCTATGCATGATGGCATGTCATATCTGGCCCAATTATTGTTCGGTTTATGTGGACCAGCCCCATACAAAGCAGGCCTGGCCGGGATCTCGCATCAAGCTGGCACTTCTGACTGGTGTCATGGCAGAGTGCATGTCAACCAGATGTGGGCCAGGTCTGGCAATGAGGCACTGTTTATGTTCCTATTTTCCTATTTTAGTTAGAAAACCCAAATGCCATGTTGCAATACTATACTGCTATGGTAGCCAATGTTTCAAATGAAGGTTTGACAGGTTTGTGAGTTTACACTTTATCCAAAACCTAGTGATGGTTTACTCATTTTTACCACTGGGTAGCTGTAGCTCAGGAGGTAGAGCAGGTCACCTAGTGATGGGAGGGTTAGTGGTTTGATTCCTGGCTTCTCCAGTCTGCATGTCATTAGTGTCAATGTGTGTGAATGTAGTTAAGAAGCACTCAGTCTAGAAAAAGTGTGCGATTAGGAGTACGTGCCATCTTGTGTAGAGCATTTGCAGTAATCAGGCCATTCGCTGTCTGGACAGAGTATCATCTTGTTACGTTTGCACTATTATGTTCTGGCACATGTTTCTCTTACATAGCTTGATTAAGGTACACATTAGGCTGACATCTGGGCAAAAGCTGAAACTGTTCTTGTCCAGCAGTGTTGTCAGCAACTGGCCCGTGGCTGCACACAACTTGCACATGGCCCACATACCACAAAGAATGACGGCCCATTGATGGCCCAGATCAGGTTTGCCAGAGGTCCACACATGGGCCAGCACAGGACCACCAGTGTGTCTGCAACTGGCCTTGTGCTTGTGCACCTTGTGCAACCTTCAGCTTTCAGAGTTAGAAAGATGTCTTTTCAGTGTCTTTCTGACCAAATTATTAAAAAAATAGTAATACATATTATTATTTTAAAGCTAATTATTAACCATGTAGCATATATGAAACTCAGTATAAACAGGTGGTGCCAGTACTACATCAATGGCAACATTTTCATTCAGTTTAAATCTGTTTTGATGTTTTTATTTTAAATTCTTAAATTGGCCACAAGATTTTGTTCCCTGTGAAGCGAACCTAAACATCCTCTTGTGATCTGACTGGGCTTATATAACGTTAAACGTATGTATATTATTATTATACATATTTAAATATTGTAAAAATGCAATTTCAAAAGCACATTTCAGTTTTTCTACATGACAAGTGTGTAAAAGTACAGAAAAATCTCTTGTAGCTCACTGCCCAGATCTCCTGTATGTATGAAACCTTATATCTTTATTTGACTGATGAAAACGTAAATTTTTTTACTGGAATTTCTGTTGTACACAGTAAAAGGTTTTTTCTGTCATTTAACTGTTTATCTAATACTTAACTACTTTGGTGTAGTATAAATGGCTCTTGAGGAGCAGGAAAAGTTGTACACCTATAAGAAGTCCATAAATGCATGCCATGCACATTTTCCAAAACCATCCAGCAGACCAGATTGGAGTCTCTGTCGGGTCAGTTCTGGCCCCCAGGACTTATGTTTGACACCCCTGATGTAAACGATGCTGTGGAAAACTGTAACTGCAGAAAAAAACAGGTTGACTCTTTTTAAAACCCTTGTTCTGATGATACACTGAGTTGGACTCATATACAGCTGTGCTTCTGATCCCTGTTTAAAATGCTGCTGATTGGTTCATTACTCATGGTCATAGTAGCTTAAGTTTTATACACTATGTGTGCTTATTACTTTATAATATATCCCTCCACATTTTTTGTTGTAAATTCAGCAATATATTAAATGTATAAAAGGTATCTCTGTTTGTGTAAGAGCCCTTAGTGTTGAAATTAAATATTACACTTGAGAAATGTAAGTGTATCATCTTCAATCTGGCTGATAGACTTTGAGGTAAGCTTATGTGCCTTTGAATGTAATGATCAGTGAAATGAATAAAAATGTCTAATAAGGCAAGTGAAAATGTAGAAAAATAAAATGTTTAAACATTAAATTGTAGAAACATGCAGTGGAAAGGTTTGGTCTGAAGATTTTGGGTGTGTGTTGTCTTTCATGCAAACATCAGTGACTAAAAATTTGCATATTCTTGGATACTGAAACAAATGCAGGAGTAAAGTATGAGATTGGTAGTGATTAGAAGAAAACTACAGAGACAGTAAGTCAGTCTACCTGCCAATTACTGCGTTTTATTAATGCCATAATACATTTGACTTGGATACTTTCTTAAGCCATGAGTGGGACTCATAGTTGGAGCTTCATTGGTAAGTTAAAGTATCTTAAACTTTCTTTAAGAAAAAATAAAGTTAAAATGAAGATGATGGAATTTAATGTACACATCAGTGAGATCATTCAAAAAAATAACTCCTTTTTTTAAAATATCTTTCAAATGTCGGTATGTTAACAGGCATTTCCATCATGTTAACATTAACATCTGGAACACTGGCAGGTAAATTTTTCTTCTGCAATCAAAACATTCTCGTCCACATTTGTTAAGTGCAAACTATCACAAGTTTGCAAAAATTAAAAAAAGAAAGATTTTTATTTAGAAAGCACAGCCAATAATTGAGCAAAGTTTCATTCTTAATAAAATGAATCCGTCTCAGTTCAGGCAAATACAAATATAATAACTACAAATTTGACACTGGACCTTGATTTATCTGTATCTATATATTTATATGTATATTGCTTATTCCGAGCAAAAATGTAAAAATAGCCCTCTATGTTTTCATTAATATTTTTTTTTAATCACTTAGGTCAACTCCTTTACAACCTGGCACTGAAACAAAAAGCTGTCCAATCTTCAACCAGTGGCACTGTGGGTACTGCTGGTAAGGCAGTTGATGGAAACAGAGATGCAAACTATCAAAGTGGGTCTTGCACACTTACCAATGCAGAATCTGATCCCTGGTGGAGAGTAGACCTGGTAAATGTGTATACAATTGGGACTGTAATGATAACCAATAGACAGGAATTGGAAAATGGGCTGGATGGTGCTGAAATCTGGATCGGAAATTCAATAACAATCAGTGACCCTGAAAGCATCAGGTGAAAGAGCTTGATTTATAACCGTAAGTCATTATTTATCATATCAATAGGACTTATTCATATTTATTCTTTACTTTTTCTTTTTGAATGTTTCATACATAGGTGTGCTGTCATCTCTCACATTCCCAGCGGACAAGCGTTTTATTTTCCATGTAACTCTGTGAAGGGACGCTACGTCACTGTGTTTTTACCAGGAAGTGCAAAGGTCCTGAGTCTCTGTGAGGTTGAAGTGTATTACGGTAAATACTTTCAATTCTGATGCAGATACATAAAACTGCAATTTACTGAGTCAAAGAACAAATGACAGCTTTCATGTCAGGGTGTTTTTAATTTCTAACAACATTACAATGTCACGTCTGCCATGGCAGATGAGTGGAGGTTGAAAGTTAGGACACAAGACGCAGGCAGCTTCAGATGCAGGTGAGCTTTATTAAACTGGTAAGTGAAACAAACAAAAACTTAGCAGGCGAGAAACAGAAGCAAAGAAATTTATACTGGGAGAAACAAACAAAACACTGAACTGAAACCGGGATGCAGGGAGACGCGGGAAGATGACACAGACGAACCAGCAACGAGGACGAGATGACACACAATATAAATACACAGACAGGAACATGAGGGAACAAGGAACAGGTGGCAAGCCCGGTGGAACTGATTGGGCACAACGAGACAAGGAAGCAAAACAGAATAGACTAACATGAGACACAGACCTTCAGAGTAAAACAGGAAATATACAGAGATGCAGACTGGAGGGAACACTGAGAAACACAAGGAAGAGTGCAGACATCACACGCTGGATAAACATGGAAAACATAACAGAATGAAACACAAACCACGGCACGAGAACTCACACAACAATATAACACAGACACATGGGGAGACAGAGGGCAGAGACACAAGGCGGAATCCAGTAAAAAAAAAACAACAACCTAGGAACCATGGAATAAATCATGAACTAAAAAAGTAGAAAAACACAAGAAACCTAAGAACGCTGGGTCAAAATGACCCAGGACTGTGACATGCAATTATTCTTTGTGTTTTTATTATATAAATCAATAAGAGTTGTCAGAGCCCAAACAACATAAATTATTGTTTTCTTGGTTTTCCTTCAAGGATACCCATTACCCAATGTGGCACTCAAAGGAGAAGCTGCCCAGTCATCTACACTCTCTGTTGCC